GCCAAAGCTTCAAAAGCATACACTGCATTGTAACGATTTTGTCCCAGTTTAACATTGTAAATTACGTGCACTTAAAGTAGTAGCAAAATGTAATGTTACATCAACAATTGGGATAGCATTAGTGAATGGCATTTTTGTTCTAAGATAATAACTGTTCTGTGAAGCATCAAGGATGTTAATCGGTTCGTTCTTGCAGGTAACGGAGCTGAAAAGCTTGGCAAATCACGTCATAGTTGGCAACGTCTCCTGTGAAACAAAAGATTTGTTTGCAGCCCTGCCTCAGTCTGTTGCTGTGGATATCAATGACCTGGGAACTATTAAACTCAGCCTAGAGGTCGTTTGGAAGTAAGTCTTCTATAGTCTAAAATTCAGATGAGATTAGCCTTTTGTAGTGTGCTCATGGAATGAAAAATACTTTATCCACAGCAAGAATTTATAAGAATGTTAGATAATCAAAGGAGCGCTTTCATCTGGTTACAAAAGACCCTTTCATTTGCAATCCACTACAAGTTCCACTCTGATTTTTACAAGAAGTATGTAATTCAGAATTATTACACAACTGCATAGGACCTGCTTAGCTCAAGCTCTTTTATTAGGAGTCCACTCCTCATTTGGGCAGTTTTCAGCTAACTGATACATATTTATCAGCAAGTCAACAGAAATCTTGCAGAACAAACAAAATAATGACTAGTAGATATCAGGTGGTCTCCCACTGCAGCATGTTGTGCAATCTGTGTATATTGCTAAATGCCAACACCACATCTTTCTTCCATGGTTGCACAATGTGAAGTAAAATAAATGCCTTTACATTTTGTCAGTACAGCGAGAGTTAAGCTGCTGACTGAGGCTAATTGATTAATTAAGTTACTGAGTAAATATAAAAGAGGAACAAGTAGTGATGGGTAAAGGGATGTTCTATTTTACCAACCAGTTTCAATCTGTATTGGCTTGTAGCAACTCTTTTCTTCAGGAAATCAAGCAAGCTCCAGGTGACTGCTGTGGTACCCTTATTCTTGCCACTTGACCCACCTTCTATAACGTGAGATGTTTTCCACTCTATCAGAATATTTTCAGCTACACTTTGCGCACTCACTGCAATGTATCAATTGACTGTCTACACTGGCCACTTATTCCAGTGGTTGACCACTCTCTGTGGAAAAGAAGTGACACCCTTTATCAAGCACAACTATATTGTTGTGGTTTGTACAGGTGCCTCCTTGTTCAACCTCTAATAAGTTATCCACATTGACAAAATCCACTTCCTTTATAATTTTAAATATGTCAATCTTACCTATCAGTCTATACTGTTCCGAGCAAAAAAAAAAAAAAAAATGCAAATTCTCTTCAAACGTCTGCTACTTACTACCTATGGGACGTGAACTAATCAGTCGAGTGACCTTCCTTTTCCAGGACATTGCTATCTCTCTGAATGCAATGGGACCAAAACCAGTCCTTTAGGTTATACAAGATTAAGAATAGCAATGTAGTTTTGTATTGTCCTCCGTGTACATTGTAACATTATGTACACTTTTGCAATAGCACTGGTTTTTTTTTCCCAACGTGATAAGCAGCTCCAATAAGAATAGGACTAGAAAGCCTAAAATATTTGAATGCAAGAGAATTGAAAACCTGTCAAATTGATGAGGTCAAGGTTACTTTCCTGTTACTTTACCCTGCAATGAAATCCCAATTGAGGATTAGGAAGGAAAGCACAAAACCCTGGAAAATCTCAGCAGGTCCGACCACATCATGGAGAAAGTAGTGGTTAATGTTACTGGCCAATGACCTTTCATAAGATCTGAAACTTTAAATCTTCGTGATCCTGCCCAATTTACTATGTGCAGCGTTTTCTGTTTCTGCGTAACGTCTTCAGCCCTGCACTGCAGTATTTTGTTTTGACAGAGGTAATGCTTATCCTTGAATAAACTGGGGCTTTTTCAAGGGCCACTAATAATCCTGGTTTTATTTGAGGTTTTCTTGGTGCGCTTCTTGGGTACTTGTTTTTCATTCCTCAGTCATTTTCTGACACAGTTACAGAATATGTTGGAGATAGTAGGAACTGCAGATGCTGGAGAATCCGAGACAACAAGGTGCAGGGCTGGATGAACACAGCAGGCCAAGCAGCATCATAGGAGCAGAGAGGCTGACGTTTCGGGCCTAGACCTTCATCAGAAAAGGGGGAGGGGAAGGGGGTTTTGAAATAAATAGGGAGAGAGTGGGAGGCGGATAGAAGAGGGATAGAGGAGAGGATAGGTGGAGAGGAAACAAACAGGTCGAAGAGGCGGGGATGGGGCCAG